GCTCTACCCCGCCGGAGCCAAGGACAAGCCGGTTGCCTACAGCGGTTCCCGAACCGTCAAGGACCTGATCACCTTCATCAAGGAGAACGGCAAGTACGAGGCTGGCGTTGACGAGAAGAAGGAGGAGACTCCCGTTGCCCCGGCTGCCACTGAGTCCAGCAGCAGCGCGGCCGCTGAGGAGACGCACGATGAGCTGTAAAATGGAGGCGAGAGGATGAGACACAAAGCAGTAAAATGTATAGTTTCTTTCTAGCAATGAAACCCGGCAGTTAATCAGCCGGCACACTGGGTCAATTCTGGGACTGGGATAAGTGCTGTTTTTTTTCAGGTAGCTTAGCATAATGTGAATTTCTATTGTGATGAAGAAATTGGCGAAAATATCGAGATGACAGGTGCTTAAACATGATATAGCTTGATCCATCTTGATTCTCAGCGAGGCCGAATTTGTTTATTCGTATGTTCGTATATTTATTCGCATACCAGTTGTTGCTTGGCTCGGGACTTGCAACTCGGCAGCCAACCAAGCTCGGCAAGCTTCCCTGAGTAGACCCGCTTTTTAGAGAGGTGCAAATCAATTGCGTCGAACCGGAGCTTCCAAGACTTCCCTACCCAAACAAAGCTGGGCCAATATCCCCTCAACGGTTACCAGCCTCAACTACCCGCAACAACAAGTCGCCACCCCATCTTTCGCGATTCGTACTTCGACCTGAATACCAGATACCGCCGATGGCTTCGAGGGTACTACTCGGCGGGGCCCGAAGCGCCTGCGCTGCCTCCCCTCTGCGAGCTGCCCGAAGCTTCCACGCGACAGCCCGAACCCTCGCCGATGGAACGACGCCTCTCCCTGTTCGCAAGCCCGTCGGCGCATTTCGCGGAGGGTTAGTTATGAACTTGCGTTAAAGCTCTACTCAATGGAATGTCCCCAAGCTTACGAATTGCGCCGTGCTACAGGCTCTTCGGTTTTCTGCTCGGTTCAACCCTTGCCGGCTCCGGCGTCTACGGCTACATCCTGTCAGTGCACACGCCCAGTCAACCCTGAGACACCCTGTTCTGTCGCCCTCGGCCTGTCGCCCCGCTCGACTGCTCCTGTTGCGCAGGCAGGGCAGGGAATGTTCTGTCATCTGCGAAGGGGAGAGTCGAATATGCTAACGGAAGGCTTCCACAGGCGAGAGTACAAGGCTTCGAACGAGCTACTGCAAGAAGACATATATGTACGTGTTATGCATTTGGTTCCGGCCTCCTGGCGCGCTTTCGCTAGTCTAGAGTTCGGGTCGCAAAGCTCTTGAGAAGCTGTCATATCCCCCTTTGGAGGAACTCCCACAGCTCCATCCGCCCGCGCCTGACCCAATACTCGGCTAACCATGGTGCGGGAAAAATAGGCACTACAGGCAGCTTGCCAACGACTAAACACGTACGTGCAGCAACTCGAGGAGAAGATGGACGCCGCGGAGAGAAAAAAGAAATAAAAGCACACAGCTTAGGTGGCGGGATACTGTTGTTACACTAGGAATGGCAGACTGCAGGAACCGGAATCCAACACGCATCAGTTGGCACGAAGACCAAAACTATTCGCTAGCGGGGAGTTGAAGCACACTTGTACAAACGGCGGACATATATGTAAAAAAGAAAAAAAGAAAAAAGATGATTCTTTTCTTCTGGCACAGATGTGTATTTGCTCGACTCACAACTATTTCGAGATCCCCTTCAACCATGTAAAACAATTCCCTTTGCGTAGAGAGTTTAGGCTCAAGCTCTGCAGTTGTGCCACGTCGGTGATTTGCCCATCTCTCTGTTCCCCTGATCCTGGCAACGTCGGTGTGACTTGTAGAGCTTTGGGAAGCTCCACTGGCGCCGGCCCGGCCTAGCTCGGCTTTTCGTACAACTCGATCATACCTGAGGGCACCGCCCCGGGATACCACAATAGCCTGACTTTAAGGACATCTCGGGCTTCGTTTCTTTTCAACCTATTCGACGTTATATTCCCCATATTCAGTTCAACATATGTACGCGCGCGGGGTTGGCCCTCTGAAGTTGCAAGCTTTGTCGCAAGAGTTCTCCGAGCCTCCTGCGCGCCCGCGCTCGTTTGCGAATAGCTTCCTTTTCGTAGGTGAATTAGTCCCTTATACCAGCCCCTTATGAATACCAGTCCCTTGAAAAATCCCTGTAAAGACCTCGTATGAAGCTGTGTACGGCACTCTGCCAACTGCCAGCGCCTTCCCTTTAGGGGTAGTACTCTCCATTCCTATTGGCCGGCAGGTCTGCGCTCGCAGACCCCCCAACACAGACGACACAATAAGCCTCCTAAAAGTCAGGACATTGGGGGGGGGGGGGGGGGGGGGTAACGTACCCACCACATAAAACAGTCAGATACGTCAGATTAGGACTTTCACCTCAACAACATCATTATCCTATTATTACTTATTCAACATCCTGAAACTTGGGCATTTCTGTGGCCTTCGGTCCGGTTGAACGGATTTTGGGAGAAATTCGAATCTAGGTACAATCCTACAGACTGAGTTTGAAATGTGGCAAGGATACCTAGTGCATCAGGACCGGACCCGGAACAGATGGGGAACCGGAGCACCGCGGCCCGCAGTCACGGACTTCGGTACTAGGAACACAGTCGGCACTGGGCACACAGTCGAGCATCTCCTATCACATGAGTGTCAAGAGTACTCTCAACTTGCACGTACGACCATATGATCTAGAGAATTCGGGATCCCGTCCGGTCTCCCATAGACAAACTAGACCAGTAGCCAGGTCAGTGACAACCGACGAACCCCTTTTTTTCTTTCTCCGTCTTTTGCGTCCTTTTTATATTGCATGTTTTCCTGCATTTCCTTAGTTTGATTTCTCCATTGGTGAAACTATCATTAGGGTTTGTTCACGCAGTGGCTATGTGTACTTGCCATTAAGGTAGTCCGTTGCAGCGACAACTTCCGCTTTCTTAGGGAGTCTGGGTCTTTTGCTGGATTCCTTATATGACCAACTACCTGATCACTTGATCTTTTTTTTTCTTTCTTCCAATCCTCTTCACCTCATATTACACAAGAGTTGCTGCATACTGTTCATCATCCCTTTTGATAAAATCAATCCACTAAATCTTGCGACAACGGTCAACAACTAAATCCTACGACAACAGTCAACGACTAGAACGCCGCAATGGCCTCTACCGTTGTACTCCCACGAGAAGGACACTCGCACACAGTCATCTGGCTTCATGGCCGGGACAGCAGCGCCGAAGAATTCTCTAGCGAATTCTTCGAGAGTGAAGCATCGCAGCCGGAAGGACAGCCAAGGACCCTGCCCGATCTCTTCCCTACAATCAAATGGGTATTCCCTCAGGCACCACTCTTACGCGCCGCACGGTTTGACGTCGAAGAAATGTCGCAATGGTTCGACATGTGGTCCGTCGAGGACCCTCAGGAACGACCAGAACTACAAGAGCACGGCTTGCTCGACAGCATTGCCCAGATCCTGCGCGTCGTCCGAGAAGAAGAAGAAGCCGTACCTCGCCACAAGATCCTCCTGGCGGGCATCAGTCAAGGCTTCGCAACTGCGATTTCGACATACCTTGCAGACGGCGCCCCGCGCTTTGCTGGATTGATCGGCCTCTCCAGCTGGATACCTCCTTTCGCCTACAACCTTTTACACACGACAGACCCGTCAGCAGGAAAATCGCCGGTGTTCTTGGCCCATTGCGAGGATGACGATGTTGTCCCTATTGAGAACGGGGAACATCTTCGAGATGCTCTTCGCGTCCAGATGGGAGCGGTGGAATGGGCACAATATGAGGACGGAGGTCATTGGATCAACGAACCTGAGGGCGTTGATGATATTGTTAGATTTTTGAGGGCTAATATGCTAGAGTGATGTTATCCGGAGAGCGCCGATTGAGGGAGCATCCTTTTATAGACCGCCAAAGCCAGCAAAATCAGCCCGACAAAATACGACACCATCTTCATATATGCCGTAAGTATTATTTTCCCTCTGCTCAGGAACATATTTGAATATGCTGACAATTCACCACGATGCCAGAACCAGTCTCAACAACCCCCTTAGGCGCAAAACCAAAGTCAACAGCTCCCTTGGGCACAAGGTCAAGATCAACAGCCCCCTTGGGAACAGAACCCAAGCCAGAAGCCCCCTTGGGCACTAAATCAAGGCCAGCAACTGCCTCCGTCTGGCCCCCCCCCAGGACAGAACCCAGCAGCTGCCCCTTGGTCCTCCTCCTTACCTCAGGCACCCGCCTGGAACACAGGATACCAATACCCCAACCCAACCGCACCATGGCCTCTTTATTCCCATCAACAGAATCCAGCACAAGGCCAAGGATCATGGGACCACCCACCACAGTACCCTGCGCCCCAGCAATACCAAGGACAGAATCAGGAGGCATCCAACAACAACCGGCAACACGCGACCAAAACGGGACGTTCGGGCAGAATTAAGCCTGAGCAGTTCATCTACAGTACAACGGCCCACCCTGCCGGGTTTTATACCTGGACAGTTATCATCCCGCCGGCCGCACCATGTACTCGACAGTTGCTGGATAGGGCTCCCTATGATCCTATATTATGGCACATAGTCTTAGCCCAGCACCCCCAGAATGCCCCTAGGGAGGCTCCGGGATAGCTGCTACGCAGCGGTCCCCCGGCGGTTAATATCAATTACTACTACATGTACCCGGACAGTTACCGTCCCCCCGGGGCCCCCCATGTCCCGAACAGGCCCTACGACTCCGACACGACTCTCGATGTACTTTTGTACAGCCCCATAGACGCCCGCGATCCGCGCCACTGGGCCATGCACGTCAGGTCACCGCAGGGTCGGAGCTCCGTACATCAGATACACGACGATGTCGGAGGCGTCGGCTACTATGTAGCTCCGGTACGTTTGGGTGTCGTGCCGAGTCGCTCCCGGCAATTTACCAAGGGCATTTTTATCGACCGTGTCAGACGGTGGCATTTGCGCCGTGTCCGTCACCTCACGGAGAACTGGGCCATGTGGCGCAGTGGTTAAAGCGCCTGGCCGCGTATAGTCCGTACGCGATTACTCGATTTTCTCCATATGAGTGGGTTCGAGTCCCACCGTGGTTTAACTACCTATCCTACCTATTCAGAGTTTTTTTCATCCCTTTCTGGAGCTCTCCGGGCGTCGGGAGGGTGGTTTCTGAAACGTTATCAAGCACGGTTCGGATAGGGGTTTTTCCCTGGATAAGGATATGTTGGAAGGCCGGCCGACAACGAATCCACCACCTGGAACTACCAGCGCTGGGTTCTGGAAATTGTTTTTTATTTGTGGAATAAGGGTGTTTTGCTGGGTCGGGAACGCGGCATCCGCCGCATAATGCGGCAGCGAGAGAACTGGCAGTAGAACTTATTTGCTGTATACGGCTTGGAATTACGACGCAGCGCTATTGAAAATGATTAAAATTAATACTAGCTGATTTCCTAACGCGTCGGCTATTTTCGATCATGATTCCTGGCGTCCCAAGATCACTCTACCCAATAACTTTTTCAGTTTTCAAATATAACAACTATAGGCATATACTATTCCGGTGCTTGTAGGGGCGAATAAAACAGCAGGAAACGTTATAACAAGAGGGAGAGTCGAGATTCATCGGCCTAAAAAGCTTCTCGCTTGTTCCAGCGCCATACCTGCCTCCTTTCCTGTACCAAGAACTGGGTATAGCAAGAAGAAATCATGGGGAAGGTCAACTGAAGTATGGAACTGAACCTTGTTACCTTCAACGTCCATCATTTGCCTGGCAAAGGTGCTTATGGACTCGTAGATCCCCTCCAAGCCGCCAGCGTCCATGTAGAGAGGCGTATCGAGCCGAAACGGATGGTTTAAAGGCGAGATATAGGCTTCCTCTTCCGGCTTTAGATCTCTCAACTTAGGTCGGTACACATCGACCCCCCACGCTAGGAGTGGCACATCAAGGGTGTCGTACCGACTTGCAATCGATCGACTGTATCTCTGGACCGCGTCTGAGGTTACCTCGACCCAGGGCGAGAAGATAACCGCACCACCTGTACCGTAGGATCGAGTCAATACATGATATTTTCCCATTTTCCCATTTTCCCATAGCCGACAAGCGAGTGATGCTAGACGAATACGTACCTGGTTGCGGAAGTGCCTGCTCAGCCAGATAGCGAAGCAGTGCCAGTACGAGATTCGCCCCCGCAGAGTCGCCCATGAGCACAATATCCTCTGGGGGTGCGCCGAGGCCCATCACATGCTGATAAGTAGTAAAGATGTCCTGGACCGCGGCAGGGAATGGGTTTTCATCAGACGCCAGTCGGTATCGCATGTACAGCACACTGGTGGCCCCGAAATGCTTAGTAGCCAAAGTCGACACATTCGTGGCGTTCAGCTCAGGGTCCCAACCCAAAACAAAGGAGCCTCCGGCTGCGAAAATGACCACCACTCCGGAGTTTCGATCCCCACCTCCCGGTTCGATGCGGGTCGGATGCCATACGGCTCCGGCAGGCGCGGGCTTCGTGGCCGCCAACGGGGCGCCGATTACGCCACGGAACAGCCGCTCATCTGGCGGTGCGATGAGGACGAAACGGTCCTCGGACTTGCCCGCTGCCAGCTGGCGAGGTCTCTGGAAACGCGTCATGGCAAGATAGCGGAAGAAGACACGCAGCATGGCAATACCCATGCTGTGCCGGTAACTCCATTGCGGCACGGCGCGGAGCGGAGCTATGGTGTAACGCAGCGAGAGGAGCAGAAGGCGAGGTATGTTGATGGCGTAGAATCCTATCTTGTAGAGCGTCCTCAAGGGCTCAGATGGCCAGGCGGAAGTACTCATGGTGCAGAATTATGTACCTGATAAGGGGGTTTTAAGGCCAAGATATCTCGGCACCGGCGAAAGACTGGCAAGCAAGCATGTCCTGCCGCTTATATCAGATGGAATTTGATACCAAGATGTCCGTCACGTCTTGTTAGCAAGGGCTCTTCATGAGGAACTGCTCAATTGGAGCGCCATTTACGTAGTACGCGTTTTAACCGCTGGGCACTATTTTTGAGTCGGCGTAAGGTATTGAAACAAAGAACGGATTGGCTGGTTTGACTCCCTTGCAGATCTGTGAATCCATAACCAACAAACAAGCCTCCTCCTCCCCTTAACCCTTTCCTTCATCTCCCCCTCCCCAACCCCTTCTCTCGCCGTTCCTAACTTTTTCTTTTCCTGTTCAATCGATAGGCAAGCTAATAGCCCCTCGTTTTCATCATGGCGTCGCAGATCCAGCACCCAAGTCTCCCCTTGCCTGACTACTTCTCCAAGTTCGCCGCCAACTACATCCGTCAGACGGGCCACACGACGTTGAACATCCTGGCCAACATCATCACCGAGGATGTCCAGACGTCCGCCAACCCCATCGGCCCAGACTCGGTCGTCCACGACACGGCCGCGGGTCCGGGCGTAGGCGCCGCGGCGCTCGTCGCCAGCCTGCCCAAGGACCGGCTGCCGAAGGAGATGCTGGTCTCGGACAGCACCGCGATGATGGTCTCGGCGGCGCGCGAGTCGCTAGTGGCCTCGCCGCTGCCCCGCGTCGAGTGCAAGGAGCTGGACTCGCAGGCGCTGTCGTCGGTGCCCGACGACCACTTCACGCACTCGATCGACAACTTCAGCATCTTCGCGTTCCTGCGGCCGGCCGACGCGATCCGGGAGTCGTACCGCACGTTGCGGCCCGGCGGCCTCGCCGTCGTCAGCACGTGGCGCCGCTTTGCGCCCATGTTCGTCGTGCACGCCGCGCAGAGGAAGATCCGCCCGGACCTCCCGCTCATGCCCACGCCCAGCCCGCAGTTCTACGAGGACGGCGTGCTGCAGCGGACCGTCGAGGACGGCGGCTTCGCCAGGGACAAGATCGCCAGGGTCGACAAGGTCTTGCTCGTCACCGACGAGGAGAACATCGCCGGGCTCACTGACCTCATGTCGGGGCCTATGATGACGAGGGCGCGCGAGGGGTACACCGAGGAAGAAAAGGCTAGGTGGGTCGATGCTGTGAAGGAGTCCGTCGACGAAGAGATAAAGCAGTTTGGGGGTATCAGGTTCGAGGTCTATGTCATCTTGGCTACTAAGTAGACATCACAGCGAAGCCTCCTGAGCAAGTGGCAGTAGGTATTTAAGAGAAAGCAGCTTGACAGTACCAAATAAAGATATTCCGAGGTAGCATACACTACTAAAATGTATCTAGCATCACGTGAATTCATGCATTACAAATATCTAGATGTACGTTGCTCAAGCCGGGTATACACAAGTGAACTGCCTTCCTGTACTTGGCAGTTTACATGCCTAAAAGTCTCTAAGCTCTCTAAGCCCTACGAGAAAGCTGATATTTCAAAGGGCATGTAAATTTATGAGAGCAACTTGAAGGAGATGTCTTTAGTTTGATATATTTCAGCGGATATACACTACCAATGACTTCTCTGTGTCGAAGATAATTCTTCGGTAGATGTGTCTGACCATTGAAGCAGACATAGTGACACGCGAGAAAGCCCTTATGAATCATCAACACCTTCTTCTTTAACTTATTGTTAGGACGTTGTTATTGCTGGCCTTATATCCTCGACTAGACGGAAATAATAGCTGAAATCTAAGACGGCGTCAAGGTTCCGTCATGTCACAGGAATTTATGTGGTCGGCTTTGCGGTCGACCCCATATCCTGCATAGGAATGTGGTGAACAGATTCAGACTCGATATCAACGGCATATTCCACTTCACGCGAGGCTCCTGTCTTCGATTCGTCCTTTGTGCTGATGAGACGAGTCCAGGCCGGGAAGCGCGAGTAGTAAGATGAGGCGGCGGGGCCGAAGAGCATCTTGTTGTCCTTTGGGGAACGGTTTTCGGGGAAATTAATGAGCCGGAAGAAGGGAATGTTGAAGATGCGATTGACTGCCGGTGGTATCACGGGGAGGCATGCGTTAATGATTCCAAGCGTGATTTCAAGCCCAGACCACAGAGCATCTTCGACGATGGTTACGGTGAAGTTCAGTTGGGACGCTGGAGTTGAGAACTTGACCACGTGGTACGTTCGCCATGCTGTAGCGAAACAGACACTGAATAAATAAGTCAGGCCCTCGTCCGGAACAGCATCACATACTTTGCAACACTTACAAGATACCCAGGCCAAAGACGAGGCTGATAGCAATCTTCTTGCGAGTGCTCATAGGCAGCGTCCAGAGCATAGGCATTGGGAGAATCAGAATGCAGACATCGAGGACGAGGTTGAAGATGGCGCTGAGAAGAAACTTGAGACCGAGATTGCCGCAGTGCCGGGGAACGTCCGCACCAAGCTCCCAGTTGAATCTGAAAGGGCGGCAGGTGGCCAACCAGGCGATGGTGCAAGCCACCAGATAGGCCACGGCCGCCGCTTCAAAGAAGTAGATGGCAAACCGAAACTGCTTCACTCTGGAGAATATCTGGAGGATGAAATCGAGAATCGAGAGTCGGACAAACGAGTTGGCCCATGATTGCAAGAGCCAAGCCACGAAAAAAGCCTAAGTGATGCTTAGGAGCTTGTATTAAGGAGACATTGACGAGGTCAGAGTACCTTGCGGATGACCAGTCGGTCAGAGGGAGCAACTTCAGTGATGGGATAACCGAGGCCTCCACGAGTGACAGCTGGGCGAGGGGGTCAGTATTATGACGGAAATAGGAGCAGCCCGATTCTTGGATGTCAAGTCGTACTTAGCCAGCAGATCGCGAAATAGCCAGTCCCAAAAATAGCGGCAACGAAGACGGCGTAGTCGTTGAGCCGCCAGGGAACTTTCTTGATGCGCCTTGCCCAAACCCTTAGAGCGAGTGCAACCAAATCCAGGATATAGAACGCAGTAACGGGACCAACGAGGAGAACGGCCCTCTGCTGGAGCAGAGCCTTAGATGGATCGATCCAACCTCCTGGCGGAGGTGACATCAACGGGTTTGGGGGAGCAGCCGTCGTCGCGACGCCGCCTGGTGGTGTAGTGCCACTCATGATAAAGGCATATGAAAATCAACTATAGTCTTAGAGAACAAAACATATGACAAAACTTACGGCGTAGATATCCTCGACTAAACAGGAGAGGGAGACAGTCCTACGGACTTAA